ATCATTTTGGAATCGTTATCCTTTGGGATTCCCATGAGGATAAAGATCCCAAAGCCTCCCACACTCACACTGAGGGGGTTTCCAAGTCCTTCCACACCCCTGATCCCACCGGAGCCGATGGGATCCTTGGGATGTGCCCCAAGCCAAGATAAAAGGGACAAAAAGCACCAGGGATTTGTACCTGGCAAGGCTGAGCTGCCCCATTCCCAAGGAAAACCAGGATTTCCCAAGGAAGCAGGAATGGGAACATTTTCCCCATATTTTTAAATCCAGGCTCTTCCATGGACATCCCACCCCGCTGACATTCCAACCTCTCCACCCGACCTATGGATCAGCATTCCTGGCAAAGCAGCGATTCCAAAAAACCCCAAAGCAAAACCCTTAAATTGCACTTTAATTGGATTTTCCAGAGGGTTATTAGGAAATGTTTCCAATCAAGGAGTAAATTGGGATTGTAATAAAATATTCCATAAATATTTACATTGGCCCTGGCTCCACTTGAAAAGCAAGGATATTTTTCCTCTTGGACACGCTGCCAAAGGAGCCAGTTGGAAAACCAAGGTCTAGGAGTCACTTTGTTCCCATCCAGGAATGATCAGAGGGGGTTTTCCCCCCAAATTCCACCCGAAAAGATTCCAGGTGCATCCCAGGTAAGTCTTGGGATCCAAAGGGGATGAGCAGAGGGAGCAGAGGGAGGAGAGGAGGGAAAAACCTCCAAAGCTGCGGCACATCCCAAGGAATTTACGAGCTGTGTGGGGTGGGCAGGGCTCCAGCTCCATCTAATCCGGATCCAGATCCAAAGGAACCGTCTGGTTCCACGGGATGAGGCTTTAATCAGGTGTGGATCAAGGAATTTCCCAGGAGTAATTCAATCCAGGCTTTGTTTATTGCTGCCCCCGTGACCCCGGGCCCTCATGCCGTATTGAACCCGTTACCTCCTGATATTCCAGGATTCAAGAGGGATCAGGGAAAATTTTCCTGCTTTTCCAGATAAGTTGCTCAGTCTGTTGGAGCAGAGAGGAAGTTTTTTCCAGCGTGGAAAAAACCATGGCTGGATGAACGGGAAGGGTTAGGAAAACATTCCTACGGCAGGGATGAGCAATCCATGAAATATTCCATGGATTAACTGGATCCCAGGGAAGCAGAGCTGGAGAGGGATGGGGATGCTCAGGGGTCAGGGTCAGGGGATATCCATTGGAGGGAAACCTTGGAAAAATCAGGACAGGCTTCCCAGAGAAGCTGTGGATGAGTCCTTGGAAGTGTCCAAGGTCAGGTTGGATGGGAATTGGAACAACCTGGGATAGGGGAAGGTGTCCCTGCCCATGGCAGGGTGGAATATGATGGGATTGGAGGTTTAGGAGCAAAAATCAGGATCCCAGGATTTGGGAACAAAAATCAGGATCCTAGATTTAGGAAGAAAAAAGAGAAGTTCAAAGATTAGGAAGAAAAACTAGGAGCCCAGGGTTTAGGATAAAAGATTAGGATTCCAGACCTAGGAACAAAATACAGGAGCCAAAGGTTCAGGAATAAAAGTTAGGAGCAAAAATTAGGAGCCCAACCTCTGGGAGGAAAAATTTGGAGCCCAGTTTTGGGAGGAAAAATTCCAAGCCCAAGATTTAGGAACAAAACTTAGGAGCAAAAATCAGGAGCCAAAAGTTTAGGAGTTAAAATTGGGATTCCGGAGGTGCAAAAGACTGGAAAACCCAACGGAAGTGGCTGGGAAAACAAGGAGCAGGAAGGAATCCCAGGTGGAAAATTCGGAATTCCATCGAGCCCTCGGAGCTGCCGGTGGCACCAGGAGTTTCCCGGCTCCGTTCCCATGGAGCAGCCACTTGGCAGCTCCCAACAGCTGAGGATATTCCCATTTTCTCCATCCTTTCCATAATTCCAAAGGACGGAGCCAATTGCCTCTGCCAGGGCTGACGGATGGGAGCCGACAGCGTCGCTTCCCATTAGGATTATTTCTGGGAATTCACACCGGGATGGCTCCGGCAGGCGCTCCCAGCTCCCGACTCCTTGGAACAATCGGCTGCCGCCCGAGAGCTCAGGGGATGTGGGAAAAGCTGGGATGGTGACATTTATTGGCACCAAGGAGAAATCCTGCCGGGAATGAAGGCTGGGATGGGATTTTAAGGAAATCCTACCGGGAATGAAGGCTGGGATGGGATTTTAAGGAAATCCTACTGGGACTTGAAGGCTCGGGATGGGATTTTAGGAAAAGAGTGGAATTCCAGGCAAGGGGCTTGAATGGAATGTGAAAATCATTCCCAGTGGCTCTGGGACACTTAAAGGCATTTTAAGGACATTGGGGACAAATCCATGGATGGGAATGTCATGGAATGATGTGGGTGGGAAGGGATTAAATCCCATCCCATTCCCTGGGAAACCTCCCACTATCCCAGGGTGCTCCAATCCCCATCCAACCTGGCCTGGAACATTCCAGGGATCCAGAGGCAGCCACAGCTTCTCTGGGAATTCCAGCCCAGCCCCTCCCAGGGGACAATCCCTTCCCAGTATTCCATCTAAATCCCTTTTCCATCCCCTTTGTCCAGTCCCTCCATCCCTTGTCCCACGCCCCTTTCCAGGGAACTCCTTTTTCCTGCTTGTTTTTTTCCAGGATGAGGGAAGGAGCATTCCCAGCTGGAATGCTGGGATGTGAGCGGAGCCCGGAGGAGTGGGTGGGATGGAAGTTTGGGACAAGGTGGGAAGAGCCAGACCGGGATTGACTCTGGAGAGGAGCGATCCCTTCCCATGGAATGGGATCAAACCCTCGCTCCATCCATGGAATGCCGTGAACGAGCTGGGGTTCATTGCTGATCCAAGGAGAATTTTCCATGGTTTGCTGGAAAATAGGGATGGGAATCCCGGTGCCACACTGACACCTCATGGAAAAAACGCTCGTTGCAATTCCAGTGCTCCAGGGATGGATTTTTGGGATAAAACGCTTGGATTTTGCTGCCTACTTTGTCCTGATAAAGGTGGTTGGGATAAAGGGATATTTCCCTGGAATCAGAGGGATTGGGAGCAGGATCTGACTGGGAAAACCTGGAGATCTTGGAGCTGCAAATCCAACATTTCCCCTTCAACCTCCGCCCTTTGCTGAGGCTTTGGAGGAAAAGAAAATGAAAATAAAAATAGAAATAAAATCAAAATTAAAATTATTAAAATAAGAAGAAAAAATTTAAAATAACAACAAAATTAAAAATTAAAATTAATTCAAAATAAGAACAGAAACACAAAATAAAAATAAAATGACAAAAATTAAATTCTCAAATCCAAGGGAGCTGATTCAGAATTCCCAGTGCTTTTCAACCCTTCCCATCTCCATGAGCACCAGTTCCTCGTGTATCCCAGTTTTCCACAGGAATATTCCCAATGGGATTTACCTTGTCACCAGGATAATGGAATCCAAATCCAAGAGATGGCTCCTCATTAACGATTAATGAGCTCATTAAATCCCACAAATAAGAGCCCTTCCCAGACCTTTCCATCATTCCCCGTGGTTATCCCTATCCCAATCCTCCCACGGGGGCAGGAAGAGGTTTGGGAGCAGGGAATCTGCCCAGGCTGGGATTTTCCAAGGAGTCATTCCCTGTCCCAGGGCAGAGCCTGATTCCCACCGGGAAAAGCTCGGGAAGCAGCACCATTCCTGGTGGTTATCCCTATCCCAACCCCAATCCCAACCCTCCTGCAGCAAGAGGCAGGAGCAGGGATGGGAGCAGGGATATTCCCAGGAGCCATTCCCTATCCCAGGGCAGGGCAGGCTCGGGAAGCAGCGCCATTCCCGTGGTTTTCCTACCCCATCTAGCGGCGCTCCAGGAGAGCTGCTTCCCACGGATCCAGCCAGGAGCTGCCTCTGGAGCTCATGGAATTCTGGAGGGGCTGGAAAAGCTCTCCCTTTGTCCCCCACTGAGCAGGGGAAGGACCTGGAGCTCCTGGAGAAATTCCAGAGGAGGTCACGGAGCCAGGCTGGGAGAGCTGGGAATGTTCCCTTGGAGAAGGGAAGGATCCAGGGAGAGCTCAGAGCCATTCCAGGGCCTCAAGGGGCTCCAGGAGAGCTGGAGAGGGACTGGGGACAAGGCATGGAGGGACAGGACACAGGGAATGGCTCCCACTGCCAGAGGGCAGGGATGGATGGGAGATTGGGAATTAGGAATTCCTGGCTGGGCTGGAATTCCCAGAGCAGCTGTGGCTGCCTCTGGATCCCTGGAATATCCAAAACCAGCTTGGAGAACCCTGGGATAGTGGGAATTGTCCCTGCCCTTGGGATGAGCTTTAAAATCCCTTCCAATCCCAATCCAAGCCGTTCTGGGATTTGAGGAGTCCAAAGCTTGGGAAGAGAAGCTTTTCCATGGGCTGGAACCCCTTGGATCGAGGCAATCCCTCAGAATGGCCCCAAATACCCCCAGATTCCCTTTGCAGACCTGAGGGTAAAATTGTCCCAAGCCCACCTCAGGATCCAAGCAGATCCCAGGATTTACCATCCCAAAAAACGCCTCAGATCCCGGCTTTCTGCAGAGCCAGGGAAGCTGCTCCCCTTGGAATTCCCTAAAAACCAGGAAGAGGGTTTGAAATAAAAGGATTTATTGAAACTATTTATTGCTGAGATCCAATTCCCACCCTTTCTGTGAGGAAATCCCCTTTTCCCCCCATTCCCATATGGAAAACATTCCAGAATTCCCTCGCACCCCAAAGCAGCTGGGATGTGAATTCCCACTGCTCCCAGGGTTTTGGGTGACTCTGGAATGTTCTGACAGCTCAATGGCACACTTAAATATTCCAAATTCATTCTTGCCAGAAGAAATCCGTATTCCCAAGGTTTTCCTGCTTCCAGTAAAATCGGGAATGGCCAAAAACACCCTTAAAGTGCTGGACTGCAGCTCGGAATAGCAGCGTCTCCCAAAAGAGGGGGAATGACCAGAAAAGATGGATTTGGGATAAAAAAAAAACTGGGAAAACACTGGAAAAGCCTCCCGGGGAGAAGACTGTAATGATCCAGCTCCATTTGGAATTCCAGAGGGACCTTTTGTATTTCCCTAAATCTATGGAAAAGGACAGATCCATCCAGAAGCTCTTTGGGATCACCAACGGAACCATTTCCCAGCTTCCCCAAAAGCCTCCGGAATGAGCACAAAGCAGTTCCTGAGGAGCAGTGGCAGCAGAGCATTCCTCAGGCTGGGAAAATCCGGGATTCCAGCAGGAAAAGTTCAGGGCTTCCTGCGCCTGCAAGGGGAAAGATCCACAGAGAACTTTCAGGATTCATCCAGAGGAAATTTGGGAGCAGCCAACCCCCCATTCCCAGGTTTTTGCACTCCCAGTTCCCACACACCTCCTAAAAAATCCAACATCTATTCCAAGGAAACTCCAAAAAATCTGGTGTTTTCCTTGGATTTTTTAGGCAGCAGGAACAGCAAACAAAGTTGGATTCCAATTCCTCAATTCCCTCTTCCCACGGGGAATTGGAATTTCCCAATGGATAATATGAGCAAGAGGTTAAAGGGGCAGGAGGGGGAATCCAGGGCATTCCCACTGCCATTCCCAGCCCTATTCCAGCCAGGAATGAAAATCCAAAGTGGAAAGGTCAGCAAAGCTGGAGGGGAAAAAACATTCCTGAATTTTGGAAGTTGGCATGAAAGAATTCCAGGAGCACTTCCTTGGACTGCTCATGGAGCTGGAATTCCCAGGGATGCCTTATGAATAACTTGGGAAAGAGGGAATTCTCCAGGCTTCCTTAGTGGTTCCATAATTATGCAGTTGGAATTTTAGCAGGAATTCCACCGCAATTCCCTCTTCCCACAGGGAACTGGAGTCCTGAGAAACTGGAACTTCCCAATCCCAAGAAATTGGAATTTCCCAATGGATAACGTCAGCGAGAAGCTAAAGGGGCAGGAGAGGGAATCCAGGGCATTCCCATTCCTGATGTTCCACTGGGGAATGCAAACCTGATGTGGGAATGGCAGCAAAGCCAGGGGGGAAAGCATTCCCAAAGTTTGGAGCCGACGGGAAAGAATTCCAGGAGCACTCACTTGGGCTGGGCGTGGTGCTGGAATCCCGGTCCCAGCGCCGATCCCGCCCTCATCTCCACGGCCACGGAACACTGGGAATACACCAAAGTCAGGATCTGCTGCTTCCCACCATTCCCAGCTCCCAGCATTCCCAAATCCTCATCCCAGAGAGGTTTGGATCCCCAGTACCCTGGAATGTCCAAGGCTGAGCTGGATGGAGCAGCCCGGGATAGCGGGAAATGCCCATGGAATGGCTGGGTTGGGATGAGCTGAAGTTCCCTCCCAACCCAACCCAGGCCAGAATTCCAGGATCCAGGGTGACATTCCCGGCTCACCCTGGTTTCCACATCCGTCCATTCCGAGTCCACGGCGTCCCCGGCGGGGTCGGGATTGGGAGGCGACGAGCGGCGCTTCCGCCTGGAACGGGAATTTGTGGAATTACAGCACAAGCCTCACGGAATTCACTGGAAAACCTCTTTATTCTTCCTTAATAAATCTTGGTTCCAGCAGCTCCAGCATCCAGAAATTTCTCCAAGTTTGTGGGATTTCATGTTGGATGTTCCCATTGGATCATCCGGCCTGGAAAAAGTTCCATGCACACACCTGGAATTCCACAATTCCAGAAGCTCAAATGAAAGGTTCCACCATTGGAACCGTGGGACTTCCACAATTCCAGAAGCTCAAATGAAAGGTTCCACGATTGGAATTTTGGGAATTCCAGGATTCCAGAGGCTGGACTCACCCGGTGGGAGATTCCTGTTTGAGGGTCTCGATGTCCGTGAACTGCACGGCCTGGCCCCCACCCCTGGTCTTGAACACGTCCCCCTGGAATGGGAAAAGGACAAGGAAAAGCGGGATTCAGACAGGAACAACACTGGGATTCATCCCAGAATTCCAGCCTAAAGAGGTATGGACACAAATAAGCTGCACCCGCTTCACTGACAATGGATTGTTCCTTTTTTCCACAGGAAAATGCATAAATCATGGGATCTACAGATCAAGGGACCCCAAAAATCATGGGATCCACACACATAATGGAATCCCATAAATCACAGGATTCACAAATCATGGAATCCCACAAATCATGGGATTCATGGACCACGGGATCCACGAATCAGGGGATCCGTGAATCATGGGATCCCACAAATCACGGAACCCCACCGTGAAAACACCAAACTAAATTTCAGCAATTACAACACAATATTCCCAAGATTCCCACCATTCCCAAAGTCACTTTGATGAGCTCACTCTGGATCTCAGCCTTGCCTGGAGCCCGGAGTGCCACATCCAGGAATTCCTTGGGTAATTTTAACGAAATTTCAGCAATTACCATAACATTCCCAAGATTCCCAAGGGCACCTCGATGAGCCCTGTCTGGATCTCAACCTTGCCCACAGCCCGGAGCAGCGAGCGCCAGCTCCAGGAATTCCTTGGGTAACTTCAACGAAATTTCGGCGATTCCAACGCAACATTCCCAAGATTCCCGAGGTCACCTTGATGAGCTTGGTCTGGATCTCCCCGTCGGAGGCGAGCTCCTGGTGGGTCAGCAGGTAGCGGTCGCACCGGGCCAGGGCGCGCTCGCTGGGCGCCTCCACCGTGATGGCCCTGGGCACGCGCGGCTGCAGCAGCGTCTCCGTGGGCACGTGGGACGGCGGCCGGTGATCCACCCAGCGCTCGCCGGCGCTGCGGGAACGCCGCGGCCGCAGCGGCGCCACCGGAGCGCTCTGGGAATGATGGGAACAGGGAATGAGAATGGGGAATGGGAAATGGGAATGGGAACAGGGAACGGGAATGGGGAATGGGGATCCACCCAGCGCTCGCCGGCGCTGCGGGAACGCCGCGGCCGCAGCGGCACCGCCGGAGCGCTCTGGGAATGATGGGAACAGGGAATGAGAATGGGGAATGGGAAATGGGAATGGGAACGGGGAACGGGGAATGGGAACGGGGATCCACCCAGCGCTTGCCGGCACTGCGGGAACGCCGCAGCCGCAGCGGCACCGCCGGAGCGCTCTGGGAATGATGGGAACAGGGAATGAGAATGGGGAATGGGAAATGGGAATGGGAACGGGGAACGGGGAATGGGAACGGGGATCCACCCAGCGCTTGCCGGCACTGCGGGAACGCCGCAGCCGCAGCGGCACCGCCGGAGCGCTCTGGGAATGATGGGAACAGGGAATGAGAATGGGGAATGGGAAATGGGAATGGGAACGGGGAACGGGGAATGGGAACGGGGATCCACCCAGCGCTTGCCGGCACTGCGGGAACGCCGCAGCCGCAGCGGCACCGCCGGAGCGCTCTGGGAATGATGGGAACAGGGAATGAGAATGGGGAATGGGAAATGGGAATGGGAACGGGGAACGGGGAATGGGAACGGGGATCCACCCAGCGCTTGCCGGCACTGCGGGAACGCCGCAGCCGCAGCGGCACCGCCGGAGCGCTCTGGGAATGATGGGAACAGGGAATGAGAATGGGGAATGGGAAATGGGAATGGGAACGGGGAACGGGGAATGGGAACGGGGATCCACCCAGCGCTCGCCGGCGCTGCGGGAACGCCGCGGCCGCAGCGGCACCGCCAGAGCCCTCTGGGAATGATGGGAACAGGGAATGAGAATGGGGAATGGGAAATGGGAATGGGAACAGGGAACGGGAATGGGGAATGGGGATCCACCCAGCGCTCGCCGGCGCTGCGGGAACGCCGCGGCCGCAGCGGCGCCGCCGGAGCGCTCTGGGAACGATGGGAGAGTGGGAATGAGAACGGGGAATGGGAATGGGGAATGGGAACGGGAACGGGGAATGGGAATAGGGATCCACCCAGCGCTCACCGGCGCTGCGGGAACGCCGCGGCCGCAGCGGCGCCGCCGGAGCGCTCTGGGAACGATGGGAGAGTGGGAATGAGAATGGGGAATGGGAATGGGGAATGGGAACGGGAACGGGGAATGGGAATAGGGATCCACCCAGCGCTCACCGGCGCTGCGGGAACGCCGCGGCCACAGCGGCACCGCCGGAGCGCTCTGGGAACGATGGGAGAGTGGGAATGAGAATGGGGAATGGGAATGGGGAATGGGAACGGGGAATGGGAACGGGGAATGGGAACGGGGATCCACCCAGCGCTCGCCGGCGCTGCGGGAACGCCGCGGCCGCAGCGGCGCCGCCGGAGCGCTCTGGGAACGATGGGAACAGGGAATGAGAACGGGAACGGGGAATGGGAACAGGGATCCACCCAGCGCTCGCCGGCACTGCGGGAACGCTGCAGCGGCACCGCCAGAGCGCTCTGGGAATGATGGGAACAGGGAATGAGAACGGGGAATGGGAACGGGGAATGAGAATGGGGAATGAGAACGGGAACGGGAACAGGGAATGGGAACGGGGAATGAGAACGGGGAATGGGAACGGGGAAAGAGAACGGGGAATGGGAACGGGGAAAGAGAACGGGGAAAGAGAACGGGGAATGGGAACGGGGATCCACCCAGCGCTTGCCGGCACTGCGGGAACGCCGCGGCCGCAGCGGCACCGCCGGAGCGCTCTGGGAATGATGGGAGAGTGGGAATGAGAACAGGGAATGGGAACGGGGAACAGGAACAGGAATGGGGAATGGGAACGGGGAATGGGAACGGGGATCCACCCAGCGCTTGCCGGCACTGCGGGAACGCCGCGGCCGCAGCGGCACCGCCGGAGCGCTCTGGGAATGATGGGAGAGTGGGAATGAGAACGGGGAATGGGAATGGGGAATGGGAATGGGGAAAGAGAACAGGGATCCACCCAGCGCTTGCCGGCGCTGCGGGAACGCCGCGGCCGCAGCGGCACCGCCGGAGCGCTCTGGGAATGATGGGAGAGTGGGAATGAGAATGGGGAATGGGAACGGGGATCCACCCAGCGCTCGCCGGCGCTGCGAGAACGCCGCAGCCGCAGCGGCACCGCCGGAGCGCTCTGGGAATGATGGGAACAGGGAATGAGAATGGGGAATGGGAACGGGGATCCACCCAGACGCTTGCTGGCACTGCGGGAACGCCGCGGCCGCAGCGGCACTGCCCGAGCGCTCTGGGAATGGTGGGAGAGCGGGAATGGGCACGGGGAATGGGAACGGGGAATGGGAACGGGAATGGGAACGGGGAATGGGAACGGGAATGGGAACGGGGAATGGGAACGGGAATGGGAACGGGGAATGGGAACGGGAATGGGAACGGGGAATGGGAACGGGAATGGGAACGGGGAATGGGAACGGGAATGGGAACGGGGAATGGGAACGGGGATCCACCCAGCACTCGCCGGCGTTGCGGGAACGCCGCGGCCGCAGCGGCACCGCCGGAGCGCTCTGGGAACGATGGGAACAGGGAATGAGAACGGGAACGGGGAATGGGAACAGGGATCCACCCAGCGCTCGCCGGCACTGCGGGAACGCTGCAGCGGCACCGCCAGAGCGCTCTGGGAATGATGGGAACAGGGAATGAGAACGGGGAATGGGAACAGGGAATGGGCAGTGGGAATGGCAGGGATGTGGGCCAGTGATCCACCCCACGCTCACTGGCACTGCGGGAACGCCGCGGCCGCAGCGGCACCGCCAGAGCCCTCTGGGAATGATGGGAACAGGGAATGAGAACGGGGAATGGGAACAGGGAATGGGCACTGGGAATGAATGGGCACAGGGAATGGATGGGATGGGTGTGTGGGAAAGACAAAAGTTTGGTCCTTGGGTTGGATCCTGAGGGCACCACAAAGAGCTTGGCATTGAATTATCGGTGGGACATTCCAGCCAATTCCTATGTAATGGAAATTTTATCCCAGTGTTGTCCAATCTGCCACATTCCATTAAGTCTCCTCAAGTTTGGGAATGCTCCTCCCAAATTTCCAAATCCACAGCCAAGGGATTGTCCTGCTCTGTTTTCCTAAAGTGCTCTTGGATTGAATCCTGAAGGCACCACCATGGGCTTAGCATTGAATTATCCATGGAATGTTCCAGGCCAATTCCTGGTTTTTGGAGATCGAATTATGAACGGAATATTCCATGTCAAGTCCTATTTCTTGGGAATTTTTGTCCAACCTGTTGCATTCCACACCTAGGAAGGAGGAGACAAAGGAAGGGATTGTCCCCCTCTATTTTCCTAAAGTGCTCTTGGACTGAGCCCTCAAGGAGCCAAATAATCCATGGAATCAGTATTCCCAGTTTAATGGGAATTAGGGAAGAGAGTTAAAGCTGAGCCACACAAGAGGTTTGTCCAAGGGATGTTTCCAGGCAAGACAAGCTCCTAGAAACACCTTGGAAGCTGGGAAATTGCAGGAGGGATTGGAGGAGACACGAGGGACAGGGAAAGGGAGACACAGGGAAAGGAAAAGGGAAACACCAGGAAAGGGAAACACCAGGGAAAAGGGAAACACCAGGGAAAACATGAGGACACCTACAGCTAGAGCAGAGTGTGGCCACCTCAGAGCTCCCTAAAAGCGGGAATTCTCAACTTCCAAGGAAGCTCCAAACACCAAGAGGGCGGCGAGAGCAGCCAGGCTCAGTCTGGGACCAGCGGGACACATTAGGGACAGCTCTACTCTACGTTAGGCGGGCTCAGGGTCAGAGAACCCTTAAGCCAGGCTCAGGGTCAGAGAACCTTTAAGCCGGGCTCAGGGTCAGAGAACCCTTAAGCCGGGCTCAGGGTCAGAGAACCTTTAAGCCGGGCTCAGGGTCAGAGAACGTTTAAGCTGAGCTCAGCCCCACTAGGCCAGGACTAACCCTGCAGCACGGATCCTCTTCCTGCTCTAGCTCCTCTCTATCCCTGGGCACCTCCAGCGCTCGGCTCCAGCACATCCCTCTCCTCCTGGCAGGGCTGGGCCAGGCTGAGCCCGGCTCCGCTCCCGCTTTATTCCTGGACTTGGGAATGCTGGCTGGCTCGCAGGAAGGGCCCCTCTGCTCCCACTCCAGCACGCAGGAGGCCACAGAGATGCTGCTGCAAGAGTTGGAGCGCCTGGGCACCTGCGGGGCCACCCGGCTGTCCCCGAGCTCAGCGGGGTCACCACAGCTCTGGGGAGAAGGGAGACAGCAGTGAGACACAGGAGACTCCAAGCAAACAGGGACAGACAAATCCAGGGATTTCCCGTTCCTGTGGGTATCAGCAGGTGGGAGAATGGATGAAGAACAAACAGGAAACGGGGAATTCAAGGTGCTCCAGCTCAGGGCTCAAACTTCAGCAGGGACATCACAGCTCTGGGAAGAAGGAAGAGAGCAGGGAGACACAGGAGGCATCCAACAGGGATAGAAAAATCCAGGGACTTCCAGTTCCTATGGATATCAGGGTGTGGGAGAATGGATGAAGAGTGAACAGGACACAGGGAATTCAAGCTGCTCCAACTTTGTCCCCAGGCTCAGGGGGGTCACCACAGCTCTGGGGAGAAGGGAAACATCAGTGAGGAGGCGTCGTGCAGTCAAACAGGGATGCCATGCAGGGACAGACAGATCCAGGGATTTCCTGTTCCTATGGATATTAGGAGGTGGGAGAATGGATAAACAATGAACAGAGACAAGACAAGGCATTCAAGGTGCTCCAACTCGGGGCTCAAACTTCAGCAGGGACACCACAGCTCTGGGAAGAAGGGAAACATCAGTGAGACACAGGGAGAGACAGATCCAGGGATTTCCCGTTCCTATGGACATCAGGAGGTGGGAAATGGATGAAGAACAAACAGAAGAAAAGGAATTCAAGCTGCTCCAACTCGGGGCTCAAACCTCAGCTCTGGGAAGAAGGGAGAGAGCAGTGAGACACAGGAGACTCCAAGCATACAGGGATAGAAAAACCCAGGGATTTCCCATTCCTAAGGATATCAGGACGTGGGAGAATGGATGAAGAACAAACAGCAGACAAGGAACTCAAAGCAAGCTCCTCCAGCTGTGCGCTTGGAGGCCCCTAATGACTAAAACCCCTGCACTTCATCCCTAAAAACACAGTTTCCTAAATGCAGCAGGTTTGGGAGTGACTCACGGGGGCAGGGGAAGGAGACACGGATCTCGGGAGAGCCTTTTCCCGCTCCCTTTCCCGGGATGGCCTCTCCGGCCTCTCGGCTCTGGGCTCGGTGACGATGGCCTTGAGCTGCTTCAGCTTCTCGTCCTTCACCCACAGCTTGTTCTGCATCTCCAGCTGCTTGGCTGCCACCCGCCGCTCCTGCAGGGACAGGGAAAGCAGTGGAAAACAGGGAATTGCCGAGGCTGGAAAACACGCCAGGATCAGGGAGGCCAAGCTGGGACTGAACCCAGCCTGGAGCCCCGAGTGCCACATCCAGGAGTTCCTTGGATACCTGCAGGGATGGGGATTCCAAACCTCCCCCTTGCAGTTCCAATGTCTACAACCATTTCCATGAGGGAATCTTCCCAGTGTCCAACCTGAGCCTGCCCTGGCCCAGCCTGAGGCTGTTCCCTCTCCTCCTGCCCTTGTTCCCTGGGAACGGAGCCTGACCTCCCCCTTTCCTTTCCTTCTTTCCATTGCTTTAAATCCTTTTCCTTTCCATTCCCTCCCCATTCCTTTTCTTCCTTTCCATTTCCTTCCCTTTCCCCTTTTCCCTTCCCCATCCACAGCAGAGCTACCCAAGAACCTCCGCAAGGCCAAAGAAGAATTTCCAACGCGGAATTCCCACAAACACCAAACCCGCTCCTTAAGAGCGCCCCAAATCCCCAAATTCCTCATAACCTGATCCTGCTTTTCCCCCCATTCCTGCACTCACACATTCCTTCTCCCACTTGAGGGAGGTCTCAGCCACCATTCCCTGCAGCCTGGCCTCCAGCCTCCTCTTGTCCGACGCCTGCCGCTGCAGCTTCTGGCTCTTGCTCTCCAGCTCCTGCTGCAGGTTCCTCTTGTCCTCCTCGTAAATCGTGGCCGTCTTCTCCAAAATCTCGATCTGCAGGAAGAGAGGAAAGGCTTGGGTGGGAACACAACCTTCTAATCCAGGAGTTCCTGCTTGTGTTTCCCAGGAAATCTCAATTTTCAATTCTAAATCGCTTGTTTTGCTGTTTTAAAAGCCTCATCTCATAAAAAAAGACAATAAATTTTCAGTAAAAGTTCCCCCCAAAATTTTTATTCCTGATGGCAAGGAATTTGCCAAGTGATTAAAAAAAAATGGGAATTATGCTCCAAAATGACCCAACTGACCTTGTATTCCAAGGTTTTAATTTTCTTCTCCAGCCTTTCCAGCTCCGTCCTCTGCCCCGTTATGGTTTTCTCCTTCTCAGCCAGTTTTCCTTGGATATAATTTTCCTTGGATGCAACACTGGAGTCAAATTCTTGCAGCATTGTTTTAAAGGCAAGAACTGGAAGAGAATTCGGATATTTTATATTTTATCTTTAATCTACTTCCCTTATCCCCAGAACATCCAAACCTCTGTTTCTCCCAACAAATTTAAAGCCTAAAATTCCTCAAAAAATGGCTGAAACAGTAAATCTAAACAAAAAAAGATGAGGCAAGGGGGATCCTTTGAGGATTAATAAGGGCACCAAATTTGAGTTTTGCCCTGATGTTCCAATTTGGGGCAAATTCCTACCGTTTTTGGCAAATTCCTCTGCCAGCATCTGCCTCATTTTGTGGCGCTGCTCCAGGGCCTCGATCAGTTTTGGGAGCGTTTGGTCGTCGTTGATGTCCAAGAGCTCGCAGGAAGGCAGGGGAGGGAAGCTCTGGAAGAACAGCTCAGCAGCAGATGGCTCCTCTGGTCCTGCAGGGTGGAAAATCCGTTAGCAGGGTGGGAAAATTCCAATGGGCAAGGGGCAGAATCGTGGAAAACTGGGAATGATTGATGGGAGCTATGGGTTTCCAAAGCGGTGAGGGATGGGAAAGGGTTAAATGTGACATCCTTGATTTCTTGTTTTACTAAAAGCAGGTCCTGAACATTCAGGAACATCCCACAATTTCCTTGGCACAATTTCCTGCCAGGAGCTGCAATATTGGGACCATGGATTCATCCCAATCCCGTGGAATTCCTTGGAAACCTCCACAGGGACACTGCAGAGGGAAGGGCAGCAGCTCCCCAGGCACTGAGGTTCAGCCTGGCACAGGCTCAGAGGGATTGGTTTAAAATTTAATTCCCAGCCTTTAATTCCTAACAGAAAACTCTGCTGGAATCATGGAATGGTTTAGGTTGGAAAGGACCTTAAAGTGATCCTGTTCCATGGGCAGGGACACCTCCCACTGTCCCACATTCCAACCTGGCCTTGGACACTTCCAGGGATCCAGGGGCAGCCACAGCTTCTCTGGGAATTCCATTCCAGCCCCTCCCCACCCTCCCAGCCTGGAACTCCTTCCCAATATCCCACCCAAATTTCCCATTTCCCAATTTGAAGCCATTCCCTGTGTGCTGTCCCTCCATGCCTTATCCCAATCCCTTCCCAAGCCCCTTAAGGCACTGGAAGGCTGTCTAAATTTTCCCTGAATCCTTCCCCTTTCCCAGGTGAACATTCCCAGAGAGGAATTCCCCGTTCCAGCCCTCACCTGCTCCCACGGGGCCGCCCCTGAGCTCCAGCTTTCGGGACAGCTCCTCCCGGAACGCCTGGTTCCGGAGGCGCCGGCCCGGCGTCAGCCCGCACAGGGGCCTGTCCAGGGGCCTGGCCACCTCCACCTCCTGGGTCATCTCTGCAAAACGCATCACTTGCTGCAAGAAAACAGGGAAAAACCACCAGGAGCACCCGGAGCTGGGATTGGGAGAGGTGCTGGGTCACTGAAGTGGGAAAGGAGGAATTATCCGGCTGAAAGCGCGAGGAGTTGCCAGCTTTGGGATCTTCCAGAAACCTCCAGAAAGGTGCCAGAAAAGCTTGGGCAGAGACAGCTGGGATTCTTGGAATAGGAGGGATTAAACACCCTAATATGGCTCCATGGAATTCTGTGATGAAGGAAAACTTTACCCACTTTCCAAGCAAGGAGCAGGTGTAATACGAGCAGGAAAAACAAGACTTGGAGAGCAGATTTATCCCACAAAGTTATAACTGAAGGGCTCAAACAACAATTATAATTTCTCATATTTCTTGGAGTACAAGAATCCAGGGAAAAACAGGAAAAAAAGAGCAGGAGAGAATGGAAAAAGGGAATTTACCAGGCTTTCCTCATAGTCCTCAGCCTTGGGATTCACACACACGATCATCCGAACTTTCCCTTCTCCATCAAAATAGTTCTTGAAGAGATGAGTCAGTTTGGAATCTCTGTATGGAACCATCTGGGAATGAAGGCCAGGGAAAATTCCGTGAGTTTTCCTTATCCAGGTGATGAAATCCAAGGATAATCAGGGAAGGGCTGCCCACCTTGTTTGTTCCGTACAATTGGTTTTCCCGCAGAACCTCGATGCACGTCCTCAATGTCATCAATGACTGGTTGATATTCCCTAAAAAAAGCAAACACAAGGAAAAAAACCTCCACGAGCAGCCCTTGGATCACGTTCCCAGATTAGTCAGAAGAATAAACTGCCTAATTAACGATATTTGTTAATAATTGCTCTAATTAACTGAAGTGGCAGAAGTGCCGCTGCAAACTTGTGGGAAGATTCGAGGTCATCAAATCCTAACTGATCCTAACAGAGCACTTCAAGAATTCCTGGGATTCCTCCCTAGGAGACAGGATTAGCAGGAGTTTAATTAGCAGGGTTAATTAGCAGGGTGCTCCAGGGGGCTCCTACCTGCCTCCCGCAGCCTGTTCCCCTCGGCTTTGGTCCTGTTGGTTCTCTCACTTCCTGCCAGATCCACCAGGGACAGCTGGCTCAGGGTGATCTGCTCCTTTTCCTGGGATACAGAAGAAATCCTGGATCCCTCCAGATTCCCCCTGAAGGGCTGGGGGACACCTCATCCCAAACCCCACTTCCAGAGAACGTGTTGGATACGAGCTCAGAGGGGTTGGTACAGCCCAGACAGCAGCACAGCTTTTTTTGGGAAGCTTGGCAGACCCCTTCTGCCTTGGGTCATGGATTGAAAGCTGTTGGATCATTCCAATTCCCAAAATTTTAGATTCCCAAACAGAGGAAAAGGTGAAAACCCAAGGAATCAGCAGCTTCACCCTCTGTTTTAACACCGAACTTTATGATTAGCTCTGTCACCTCCAAACTTGAGGCACGGGAGCTGTTTCCAAGGTAAATTCCGTAAAACTCTCCCGAAATTCTCCTGGAATTCTCCAGAACTCACCTGGAGCACGTTGTCCCCATCAGCATCCAGAGGAGCCTGTGCCAGTTTGATGATGAACACGGAGTGGGAGCGGCTGGATTCCCGGTTCAGCTGCGTGTTGGCGATGCGCCGCTTCTTCTGCCCTGCTCGGACAGCCCAAATTCCCAAAAATCCTGCTGCTTTCCCACAGTTCCCACCCCCTCCAGCATCAGGGTGTGAGGGGTTTCACAGCTGTGGGATGTTGGGAAGGGCTGGGAATGGGGAGGCCCTAAATGCCCAGAGAAGCTGTGGATGCTCCATCCCAAGGACGGGGCTGATCCAGCGGAATTTCCTTGCTCGTGGATGATGTTTAAGGTGCTGGGATGTGGGATCAGCCCTGAATTCCAAGATTTTTACCTCTCCAAAAGACTTCAAAAGCTTCCTCTGTGGATTTGACCTCCACTTCGGTGCAGCCCGTCACGTACATGTTGTGGTTCTGGTCTTCCCGAAGGATTTTGGACTGGGGAGGTCTTTGGGATAGTGAGAGAGAGGGAAAAAATCCAAAAAAAAAAATCCCATTAGAGGGGAATTCTCTGTGTAATTTGCACATTCTCTGCAAATTGCCATGCAGATTTTTCTTGGAAGGCAAAATTCAGCAGGAAAAGGTCAAAAATCAGAGGGAAAAAATTCAGAATGTGTGGGGAAAATGTCACAAGTCTGAGGGAAAAATGTACAAAAATTCTGAGAGGAAAATGTCCAAAAATTCTGAGGGTAAAGATCGAAGTTCTGAGGAGAAAAGGTCAAAAATTCTAAGGGAAAACTGACAAAATTCAGAGGGAAAAAAATCAGAATTTGGAGGGAAAATGTCACAGGGCTGAGAGGAAAAGGTCAAAATTCAGGGGGAAAAGGCCAAAAATGCTGAGGGGAAATGGACAAAATTCCTAAGGAAAACACAGAATTTGGAAGGAAAAATGTCACAAGTCAGAGGGGAAAAGGTCAAAATCCAGGGGGAAAAGGTGAAAATTCTGAGGGGAAAAGGTCAAAAATTTGGAGGGAAAAGGTCAAAAATTTGGAGGGAAAAGGTCAAAAATTTGGAGGGAAAAGGTCAAAAATTTGGAGGGAAAAGGTCAAAAATCCACCTAAAAGATGGAAGAGGGAATACAGGACACGGACACACAGCCAGGATTAGTGACACTCCAGCTACTGCTCTAATTAGCAGCTATTTAATTGCAATTAATTGCTTTGGTGGCAGCTATTGCTTTTCTACAAGCACACAGAAGCAAGGAGAGCATCCTAGATTTCCTAGGAAAGCAAAGAAAGGCAGGGAATTTTCTGCTTCTACTCAGGGAAAACAGCGCTGGAATATTGGGAATAAGACATTGGACACATACACAAAGTCTCCATTTCTCACAGGAGTGTTGCAATTGTTCCACCTACCAAAAAAATGGGGAAAAACATTAAATCCTTGATTTCTGCCTCAAATCTTTCCACGCTGCAGCTTCCAGAGGGAGAAATAATCCCAGATATTTTTTTTAGGATGGGCTTTGGGAATAAACGCCTTTTATTTGTTTTTTTTAAATTTTATTTTAATGTTTAAAATTTTAATTAAAATTTTAGTGTTTAAAAATACCATTTTATTTTAAAAATGCTTTAAAACCATTCAGTGTTTAAACACTGAATGGTTTTAAAGCATTCCCAGAGATTCAAAGCTTTCTGGAATGAAGACCCTGGAGACAGCTCCCAGTTTGCTTGGCCCTCATTAGTTTTTGTTAATCAACCACTCCTTAATTAATACAGGACTGAGGGGCTCCTTTAATGATTTTTGGAGCTGGAATTTCAATCCATGGATTCCAAGTGGAATTTGCAGACTTTTCCTACTGATTTTAGGCATCACAAACGCACAGCTTTGGAAAAAATATCCCTAAAAAATATCCCTGATTTCTGATGTTATGGGAATTACTGATGCCAAAGTGGAATAATGTGGAAATATGGAGCACCAAACCAGTGTTTTCCACTGTTTCCAGGGAAAAAAAGCTATGGAATGTCTCGTTCCAAGTTGAAATCACCTGTTAGAATAGACTGGGAATTTAAGTGGGATAGAATCGCCTAATTAATTAAATATTTGCTTGCTAATCACCCAGCCTAATGAAGAAGGGAGCACCTTGGCCATCAGTACTGAAACATTCCCGGCTGGAACCCTTTCCACGCGCGTTTAACACCGATTCCCAGGAATTGTGAGCTAAGCTCCCGAAGGTCAGAACCAAAAAACCCAGGGTGGAGATCCTACAAAAGCCTCCCAGGAGTGGGAATACGGGAATTCCCAAACTCCCTTGGGTTTGGTGGGCTCACAGCACACGGTGGCTGTCGGAACAGGACGCAGAGACCCCGCGGCCGCTCCTCTCGTCCCAAACCTCTTCCAGCGGCTCGGCGCCGATTCCCAAATCCCGGATTTCCCAACTCACTTGGGTTTGATGGAGTCGCAGGGAGCCTCCTCCAGCAGGTCGTAGATGTAGTTGTTGTAGATCTCGATGTAGGACACGAAGACGCCGTAGACGTTGTCCTCGTCCACCTCCTCCGCCCGGCACCGCTCCCGCACGTCGATCATGTCGGCAAACTCGGGATCCAGCTGCCTCCTGCCCAAACAGGGATTGGGGATGGAATTCCCGGCGGCCGGAACGGCTCAGAAGGGTTGGGTGGGAAAACGGGCAATATTCAGGAAAATTCCCATCACTGGGGGGGGCCTGTGCAGGGCCGGGAGTCGGAATTCCATGATCCAGCTGAGGGGAATTCCATGATCCCGCTGAGGGGAATTCCATGATCCAACTGAGGGGAATTCCATGATCCAACTGAGAGGAATTCCATGGCTGGAATTCCATGAACCAACTGAGGGAATTCCATGGTTGGAATTCCATGATCCAACTGAGGGAATTCCACAGTTGGAATTCCATGATCCAGCTGGGGGAAATCCATGATCCACATGAGGGAATTCCATGGCTGGAAATTCCATGATACAACTAAGGAAATTCCAACGTCTGGAATCTCATGATCCAACTGAGGGAATTCCACGGCTGGAATTCAATGGTCCAACTCAGGAATTTCCACAGCTGGAAATTCAAATTCCATGATCCATCTGAGGAATCGCCATGGTTGGAATTCCATGATCCATCTGAGGAACATCCATGGTGGAAACTCCACAATCCAGCTGAGGGACTTCCACAGCTGGAATTCCATGTTCCAGCTGAGGGAATTCCGTGGTTCAGTGGAAATCTCTCCAAACTGAACTTCAGCGGATTTGGCCGGCGAGGCTTCACAGAGCTGGACTCTTCAGCTCCCGGGGTTTTAATCCCGGATTAACAGGTACAAAAATAGGCTGAGTCTAGGACTTGTCATCTACAGAGCTGCTCAAACCACATGGAACACCCTCACTTCCCATTAGCATTTTACTAATTATTATTATTAATGACCCTGCTCATGGGACCAACCATACCAACTTGAAGATCTCTTTGAAATTCTGGGGGGAAGGCAAAAAACTCAGGAAAAAAAAGTATGGAATGGCTTCCTCCAAGCTGAAATCTCTTGTTAGAACAGCAGGAATAGATTGGGAATTCCAGTGGGATACAATTACCTCATTAATTAAATATTTGCGCTTTTTTTTCCCATTTTTTTCCTTCATTTCTTCAAGGGAAGAGCCTGAGAGAAGTTAAACCCCATTTCTAGGGAATAAATTCCATCTGCTATTCCCAGAGTCACTCACTTCCCAGCTGGAGTTTTTGGGGTGGGCAGGGCCTCTCTCCTCTGGCGTTCCAGCAGAGCCTCCACCTCAGTCTGAACATCCACCCCGTTCTTGTCATCCAGCTTGAAAACCTGAGGGAAAAACCAGGAATTTCAGACAATTCCAACATCCAGGTAGCGGCCAACAAAGCATTATTTGGTTAATTAATTAGTCTGACTAGGCTGGTATTAATTTATTAATACCATGCCCCTCATTGGCACTCAACCCAGCAAGATCTGAGAGAAATAATTTGCAAAATAATGTTTTAGAAAAGCTCCCAAGGATGAGAATTCCAGGATTATTTCAGTATATTTTAGGCACCATGAGTGCATGCCTCTGGAAAAATATCCCTAGTTTCATGAGGAGACAATTAATTTTTGGTTTTATGGGAATTACTGAAATGAAGTGGAATAATATGGAAATATGGAGCACCAAACCAGTGTTTTCCACTGTTTCCAGGGAAAAAAAGAGCCACAGAATGGCTTCCTCCATGATGAAATCACCCGTTAGAACGGCAGGAATACACTGGGAATTTCAGTGGGGTACAACTGCTTAATTAATTAAAGATATGCTTATTAATCCCTCATCCTAACGAGCAAGGGGAAAACACCTTGGCCATCAGTACTGAAATATTCCTGGCTGGATTCCTTCCCATGTGTTTTTAACAGATTTTTCCTAGGACGGGCTCGGGCAATGAGCACCAAACCACGGAATGCTTTAAAAGCATTCCCAGAAATTCAAAGCCTTTTGGAACGAGGACCCTGGCGTGGGGGTTTTTCCCCTCTTCCAAGCCCTCCAGTGGCAGGTTTGGAGCAGAAATCCATGGATTTGGGGCTGTGGGGAGGCACTCACGAATCTCTTGGCCTGGAAGGGGCCGATGCTGTTGAAGATCATGGCCAGGCAGCGGGGCAGGAGCCCCCCATCCCCAGGGGATCCTGTCATGGTGTGGGTCTTCCCACTGCCCGTCACTCCGTAGGTGAACAGCAGACCTGGGAATGCAGGGAAAAGGGAGAAATCGATGGGATTGGGAATAAAAACCACCCCACCTCCAATATTGCACACCATCCGAGGTGCTGGTGGCTCTGGCTGATGGTCACAGCTGGGAATATCCTTCATCCTCTCCAAGAGACACAAACCAGCCCTGGGATGTTCCAGACTGGATGGGGCTTGGAGCACCCTGGGATACTGGAAGGTTTCCCTGCCCATGGAAAGGGATGAGCTTCAATGCCTTTCCCATAGATTTGATGGTTTAGGAAGTGATGATTTTTTGCCATTTGTTGCTTTTTTGGGAGTTGAAAATGCGTTTTGCTAAAAGCCCAAAATGTTGATTTCGCAATTTGCAACTCCCACAAACCATGGGAAAACTTGGGAGAGCAGGGAGAAGGATCTGGATGCATCACTCATGGAATTCCAGAACACTTTGGGAGGGAAGGGACCTTAAAGCCAATCCCTTTGCCAAAGACAGGGACACCTCCTGCTAAGCCAGGCTGCTCCAATGACACTTCCATGGCATGGGATCACCCATTCCCACCCAAACCATCCCAGGATTCCAACTTCAGAAAGAGCTTCCAGGGGTATGGTGTGAGGAGCCACAATTCCAAACAAACCTTGGGAGCAGTGGATCACCCATTCCCACCCAATTCCTACTCCTGAAGAAGAAAGAGCTTCCAAGGGAATTCCAAGCTGAAGTCTCTTGTTAGAACAGCAGGAACAGATTGGGAATTTCAGTGGGATACAATTACCTAATTAATTAAATATTTGCCAAGGTTTTTTTCCAATTTTTCCTTCATTTCTTCAAGGGAAAAGCCCAAGAGAATCCCATTAAGTCCCATTTTGTGTGAGGAGCTGAGCCACCATCCCAACCAAACCTCAGAGGCACGGGATCATCCATTCCCACCCAAACCACCCCAGGATTCCCATTCCAGAAAGAGCTTCCAGGGGTGTGGTGTGAGGAGCTGAGCCACAATTCCAAGCAGGCCTCAGGAGCACTGAAATCCTGGGAATGGGGACAGAGGAGAGGAGCTCTGCTCACCGTTCTTGCCCCGGATCAGATCCTCCACCAGCGGTTTGGCCACCACGTCAAAGAGCTCCTTCTGCACCACCAGCGTGCCAAACACCTCCTTGAAGGAATACTGGGTCTGCCAGGAGAGGGAAAACCACCCTGGAATTCCAGCCCCACGGCCTGGAGTGGCCAGAGGGACCCCATGGAGCAGAGAATTCCCAAAGGACAGCTAAAAGCTGGAATTTCCTTGCAGCTCCCCCCAGAATCCAAGCAAAGGAACACCCACCGTGGCCAAAGTGGAGCTGTTCCCTCATGGAATTTTGTTTATTTGGGGTCTTTTTCCAGTCCAGCCTCAGTTTTCAGGCTTGAATTTCAAGCTGGCTTTATTTTCTTAATGAATTATTTCAATGAATTTTGCAATTTAAATAATCCTAAATTTGAAACTGCTTTTATTTTTTAAATCAGTTATTTAAATAAAATTTTTAAAATATTTTAATTTTTGATGGCCATTTTTCCACCAAAACTCTTCCTTAGGGAAATGCCTAAATTCCAAATTTCTGAACAAAACCTCATTTAACTAAATTAAAATTCCATTAATTAAGCTTTGCCTGTTTTATTTAAACCTTCAAAAACCCCTTAATTCCCTTCCCATAGGAATTTTCCAGCTGAAATCGGCAACAAAATATTCCACATCCAAGCTAAGATTCCCACCTGGAGAAGCTGTGGAATGTCCAAGGCCAGGCTGGATCAATCAGGGATGGTGGATTCCCATGGAATGGGATGAGCTTTAAGGTCCTTCCCATCTATTTGATGGATCAGGAAGTGATTTTTTTTATTTTTTTTTTGTCCTAGATGGGTTTTTGGGTGGAAAACCTTCGGATTTTGCACTCTGCAAGTGCCACAAACCATGGGAAAGCTTGGAGAGCTGGAGCTGGATGGAATTCATGGAATTCCAGAACTTTGGGTGGGAAGGGACCTTAAAGCCAACCCCACTGCCAAGGGCAGGGACGCCTCCCGCTGAGCCAGGCTGCTGCAGGGACACTTCCAGGGACTGGGCAGGAATTCCAGGCGAATTCCAGGCAGGAATTCCGTTACCTCGCGGTACTCGCCATTCCGGAACACGCGGTAGCCCTCGGGAGGGTGGAGCTGCACCGTGGTGCCGCTGATGACCTCGATGCAGCATTCCTGGTCCGCCCGGCTGAGCGGCCGCACACGGCAGTACACCTGGGAGGGGAAACCGGGAATGGACCGGGAACGGACCGGGAATGGACCGGGAATGGACCGGGAATGGACCGGGCAGTACACCTGGGAGGGGGAAACCGGGAATGGACCGGGAACAGACCGGGAACGGACCGGGCAGTACACCTGGGAGGGGAAACCGGGAATGAACAGGGAATGGACCGGGAATGAGCCGGGAATGAACCTGGAACGTACACCTGGGAGGGGGGAAAACCGGGAATGAACCGGGAATGGACCGGGAACGGACCCGGCAGTACACCTGGGAGTGGGGAAAACTGGGAATGAACTGGGAATGGACCGGGCAGGGGGGAAAAAACCGGGAATGAACCGGGAATAAACCGGGCAGTACAGCTGGGCTGGGGGAAAACCAGGGAATGAATCTGGGAATGAGGGAAACAGGGATAAACCGGGAATAAACCTGGGAATGAACCTGGGAGTGCGAAACCGGGATAAACCAGGAATAAACGCGGAGTGAGAGGTGGGAATGAGCGGGAACCGGGATAAACCCGGGAATAAACCCGGGAATGAACCCGGGAATGAAGCCGGCAATAAACCCGGGAATTCGGCGGGGTGGGAATCGGGGAGCTAGGGATGAGCCCGGCCACAAAGCCGGGAATTCGGCGGGGTGGGAATCGGGGAGTTCGGGATGAGCCCGGCCGTAAAACCGGGAATTCCGCGGGGTGGGAATCGGGGAGCTCGGGATGAGCCCGGCCGTAAAGCCGGGAATTCGGCGGGGTGGGAATCGGGGAGCTCGGGATGAGCCCGGCCATAAAGCCGGGAATTCGGCGGGGGCGATGGCGGCACTCACCCCCACCGGGTCCTTCTGCGTGGGGTTCGTGCCTTTCCTCGGCCTCCGCGGCGTCCTGGCCCTGCTGAGGGGAGAGAGCGTGAGGGGACCGGGAACGGCCGGGGAACCGCCAGCGGGGAGACGGGCGGGAGGAGCGGGCCGGGGAGGGGAGCGCCGGGAGAACGGGAACACCGGGAGAACGGGAACACCGGGACAACGGGAGCGCCGGGATGGAGAAGGAAGCGGGACGGAGCTGAGGGCGCCATGCAGGGCGGACCCGCGCGGACCCGCCGCCCCCCCAGGGTCCCCCCGGGGTCCCCCCAGGGTCCCCCCAGCCCTCCCGTGCCCGCCCGGGGCTGCGGAGCCACTCACGCCGCCTTCATGTCGCGGGTGCCGCCGCTGTCGCGACAGGGCCCGGGGCTCGCGCTCGCGGGTCTGGCACCGGGCGGCGGCCGCGCGCCCGCCGCGATTCAAATCCGGCCAATCAGCGCGCTCGGCCGCCGCCTGACGTCGCCGCGCACGGCGCGTCACCATGGCGACGCCGAAAGGGGCGCGGGCGCCTCCTGCTGGTGGCGGTGGTGGAGAGGGCCGCGGGTTCGAATCCCGGCTCCGGCAGATCCCGGTTTTTTTCCCCCGCTTTTTATCCACCTAATTCCAATCTTTCAGGAAAACCGGTGGAATGCAGACCGTTTGCAGGGCCATGGCTTCCCTGTGTGCCTGCCTGGAGGCAAATCAGTCACTCAACCCAACTGAATTAATTCCCAACCCAATGGAAACAAGTGAATTCCCAATCTGTGGAAAATGAGTGAATTCCCAACCTGCTGGAAATAATTCCCAACGTGTGGAAAGCGTGTTAATTCCCAACGTGTGGAAAATGAGTTAATTCCCAACCCAGTGGAAATGAGTGAATTCCCAATCTGTTGGAAATGAGTTAATTCCCAACCTGTTGGAAATAATTCCCAACCTGTAGGAAACGAGTTAATTCCCAACCCGATGGAAATTAGTTAATTCCCAACCTGTGGGAAATGATCCGTGGTGGAAAATAACAGTGGAAATGTGGCGTTGGGACACGTGGGAAAAATCCGGCAGAACAAGTCCAGGGAAAAGCAAACTTCCTTCCCAGGGAATGGATTCCAATGGGGAACTGGGGAGAGGGATTCAATTCCTCTTAAATTCCAGGGAATTTCCATTTTTAGTCCAAATTCCTGAATGTTTCCACAAGGCACTTCAAGGATATTTTTTAAAAAAGGGATAAAATCACCTGGAGGAGCCTGAAATTCCTGCTTTTTTTTCCAGCTTTTCCAAATCCACATGGCTTAGGAGGATGAGGGAGGTCTGCTGGAATTTCATCCCAAACTCCTTTGGGATTTGGCATGGATCAAATTCCACCAATAAATATCCTGGTTTATTTCCTTGGAACAACTGGACACAGAGCTTTCATTTCTCCTGGGAAATAAATTGAGGAAAATCCAGAGATTTTTGGTAAAAAAGCTGGAAAAATCCTCTCCCTGTGCCGCTCCAAGATCCAGCATCACCCATTCCACGGGTTCAGCCAGAGGATCCCGTGGAATCCTGGCATTCCTTCCCCTTTGGAATGCAGTGTTCCTAAAATTCCGGCACTGGAGAGGACGGGAGGATTTCAGTTCAAAAGCTGAACGAGCTGGAATAATCCTGGGATGATTCCCGATGTTTTTCCGGGCTCTCCAATCCCAGGAGGATTCCTCCCCGGTCACGGCAGCTCCCAAAGTAAATAAACTCTGGAATTATCAGCAATGATCTCCAAAAGAATTCATTTTCCCAGGAATATTTTTATTATTAAGCAGAATAAAATCAGTGATTTATATTAATTTAATAAAACCGTTGGAAAAAAACAATTCCAGTGCTCATAAATATCCTGAAAATCCCGCTCAGCATTCCCAAGGATTGATTTATCCCGTATTTAACCCGTTCATCCCAGATTTTATTGTGATATCCCAAATTCCAGCAGCTCCCAAAGTGCAGCAGTCAGACCTCGGCAAAGGCAATTAAAGGAAATTAATGGAAGACCTATGGGATTATCCAGGAGAATATTCCCAAAGAATAAAGTGTGTGCTGTGTTCCCACAGGGAAGTCCTGGATCCTGGAAAAGCCTGGAGCTCTGGGCTCTTCCTGCAAAATCCAGGAGCAGCAGGGAAGGAAAACAAGGAACAGCAGAGGGAAAACCCTGGGAATTCTTTAAAATTCCAGGGCGCTTTTAACCCCTGAGCTGTCCCAAATCCTGCTTTTCTCCTGGCATCTCCTCACAGATCCCAATCCCAAAACATTCAAAACCTTTTCCTAAAGGATCCCAAATCCCACGAGGTTGGGGTGTGGAGCATTCCCAATCCCAGGATCCAATCCCAGGATGGAATTCCTTAATTCCATCCCTCCCTGTGGAAACTGGGAATTCCCACAGCATTGAACTTCTCCGGATTTCCCGGAATGAGGCCCTGGAAGAGCTTTCCTGCGGGAACATCCCGTTGGGGCTCTCCTGAAATCCTTTTTCCCAGATAAAGAGTAAAACCAGTGGGAATTAAGCCAGGAGGGAAACTCCAGTCCCTCCATCCCACCTCTCCAGGCACTTGGGCTGAGTGCAAGGCTCGGAATTCCAAAGGAATGCCACATCCATCCAAGGGGAAAACGGGAATCAGGGAGTGCTTGGCTTCACCGGGAATCTCCCAGCTGGCAATGCCAACATTCCCTGGATTTCTCCCCAAGGCACACCTGAGGGATCCCGGATTCTTTGGGAAGCAGGAGCGCTTCCCTCCCTTTTCAGAGATCAAATCCTGATTATTCGACGCTTTCCCTGTGGATAACAACGGGATGGGAAGCGTTTCCCAGCCCATCCATGGATAAACCCGGTGTCGTTTTCCCTTGGAAAACTCCCAAAGAAATATTTCCAGGTGACTCAATTCCCCCATGGACACCTCTGGAATGGGACTGCTCCCGGAAACCCGAGGCAATCCCTGATTCTAGTGGGATTTTTCCCGGGAAGGAGGCTCCGGGCGGAGGCTGCGGAAGCAGACCCCGAGGATGGCCAGGCTGGCGGCCGCTCCCATTCCCAGGGATCCGAAGGTTTCCAGGGAAGAGGGAAGCGGGAGGCGGCCCCGCCGCTCCGCCATGTCCGTGGAGATGGCTTCCAGCTGGAAGAGCGTTCCCAGGATCCCGCAGATGTGGAAAACCTGGTGGCTGTGCCCTGCGACAGAAAACTCTGAGAATTCCATGGAAATTCCATGGAAATTCCGGGGGCGTTCGGCTCTGGGGGCTTGGAGTGCTCTGGGGTAGTGGGAGGTGTCCCTGCCCATCCAAACATCCTGGAATTCCAGGATTCCAGGATTGAATCACGCTCAGCCCACTTCACCTGGCATCCATGGAATATTTATCCCACAAATTCCTGATTCCTGGGGTTTTATCCTCCTTGTAATTACTATTCCCAATGTCTGCGGCTCCAAGGAATTTATTCCTGTGATTCTATGGGGTTCATTCCCAGCATTCCCTGGGTTCATTCCTGGGATCCCATGGGGTTATTCCTAGCATTCCCCTGGGGTCATTCCCTGGGGTTCAGTCCCAGCATTCCTAGGGTTCAGTGCCAGCATTCCCGGGCTTTATTCCCTGGATTCCCTGGGTTCATTCCCAGCATTCCCGGGGTTTATTCCCTGGGTTCCCTGGGGTTCAGTCCCAGCATTCCCAGGGTTTATTCCCCTGGATTCCCTGGGTTCATTCCCAGCATTCCCGGGGTTTATTCCCTGGGTTCCCTGGGGTTCAGTCCCAGCATTCCCAGGGTTTATTCCCTGGATTCCCTGGGGTTCATTCCCAGCATTTCCAGGGTTTATTCCCAGCATTCCCGGGGTTTATTCCCAGCATTCCCAGCAATGCTCACCGATGAAGTCGAAGCTCCCCGGCGCCAGGCGCTCGGGCAGGTGGGAGGTGAAGCTCAGGAAGGTCAGGAGGGCGCAGAGGCTGTGCCGGGAATGCAGCGGGAGCGAGCCTTCGGAGCTGCTCCCGGCCGCGCTCCGGGACAGCTGCCGGCAAAAACGGGAGTGATCCATCCATCCATCCATCCATCCATCCATCCATCCATCATCCATCCATCCCAAAGGAGCCATTCCCAGTTCCCCACTCCCCTCAGCCCCACTCCAACCCTGCTTCCCAGGAAAAAGCAGGATTGATCCACCAGTCCCAAGGAGCCATTCCCAGTTCCCCACACCCACCACCTCCACTCCTGCCGGCCCAAATTCCCACCCTGCTCCAGTTTAATCCCTGGAAAAGGCCCCTCCCAGCTTCCCAAGGCAGGAATTTTCCAGCCCTTTGAAGTGAGAGGAATCCGCCAGCAGTCGGAGCAGGAAAAAATATCCCAGGGCCTTTTCCTGCCGGAGTTTGTTTGCCTTTCAAACCCCAAGCTGGGCCTGTTTTCCCAAAAAATTCCAGGCTGAGGCAGCTGAAATTTCCCAGGATTCCGTGGGATACGCACCCTGTAAAAAACTGGGATGCTGTCGAAAATGTAGGGATACACAAAGGCCAAAGTTCGGAAGGCTTTGCTCAGGCAGGGCCGCTCCGCCTCCAGAAACCTGGGAAACACCGGGAATTCCACATGGGATACACAGGGAATTCCACATGGGATCACATGGGAAACACAGGGAATTCCACATGGGATACACAGGGAAACACAGGGAATTCCACAGGGGATACACAGGGAAACACAGAGAATCCCACACGGGATACATAGGGAATTCCACACGGGATACACAGGGAATTCCACATGGGATACACAGGGAAACACCGGGAATTCCACATGGGATACACAGGGATACACAGGGAATTCCACGTGGGATACACAGGGAAACACAGGGAATTCCACAGGGGATACACAGGGAAACACAGAGAATCCCACACGGGATACATAGGGAATTCCACACGGGATACACAGGGAATTCCACATGGGATACACAGGGAATTCCACACGGGATACACAGGGATACACAGGGAATTCCACATGGGATACACAGGGAATTCCACATGGGATACACAGGGAATTCCACACAGGATACACAGGGAATTCCACAGCTTCTCTGGGAACATGGGATAGTGAACCTGAATCATCTCCAAGTTCTCTCCCAATCCAAACCATTCCAGAATTCCATAAATCCCCTTTAGAACTTCCCAAAAATTCAAGCTCCTCCCATTATTCCACATTTTCATCATCGAATTCTCCTCATTTCCCAATGGAAAAATTCCCTCTTTCCCTTTCCCCAGCTCCCGGCTGTGAGCAAACCCCTCATCCCGAATTCCAGGTGCCGCTGGATCCCACCTGGAATAGCAGGACAGGCCAGTGCTGAGCACGGAGTTGAGCACGGCCACGGGAACG